GCTGTGCAGTTCCTGAGTCTTAATCTCTTTACCTATAAAGTGGGGATAATCCATCTGCTTTCAGGGAAATAGGAGGAAGCTGTCAAAGCACAGACGTCAGACTTCCTAGAGAATAAGGAAGGTGTCCTCTCTTGGCCTCAGCATTCTTGTTTTCTTGTCTGTTACAAGCCCTTGATAAATGGCAGCTAGGGAGAAGGGGATTCAGGACTCGTGATAATTGTCCAGCATGAGAGTCTGCATCAGGGAGGTCTGTGTGAAGGAAGAACATACGCTCATTTATTAATTGTAGTTTATTATTTAATCATTGTTCATTTATTCAACAAATATTTATTGGACACTGGTAGGCAAAATAATGATCCCCAAGAGACGTCTGCACCCTCATCCTTGGATCTTACAAATAGTTTAGGTTACAAGGGAAAAGGGAAAGTAAGGTTGCAGGGGGAATGAAGGTTGCTGATGAGTTGACCTTAAGATAGGAAGATAATCCTAGATTATCCAAGTGGATTATCCAAGTGGGCCCAATGTGATCACAAGGGTCCTTAAAAGTAGAAGGAGGAGCAGGAGAGTCAGAATCGCTGGTTTTGAAGATGGAGGAAGCTGAAAGACGCCAGGAAGGGGATTCTCCCCAGAGCTCCAGTAAGGGATATAGTCCTGCTGACACCTTGGGTTTTTTTGTGTGTGTGGTTTTTTTTAAAGACTTTATTTATTTATTTATTTGACAGAGAGAGACACAGCGAGAGAAGGAACACAGGCAGGGGGAGTGGGAGAGGGAGAAGCAGGCTTCCCGCGGAGCAGGGAGCCTGATGCAGGGCTTGATCCCAGGACCCTGGGATCATGACCTGAGCCGAAGGCAGACGCTTAACGACTGAGCCACCCGGGCGCCCTGATGCCTTGGTTTTAACTCCGTGAAGCTTGTGTTGCACTTCTTACCTACAGAATCGTAAGAGAATAAATTTGCATGGGTTTAAGCAGCCAGCTTTGTGGTAATTTGTCACAGTTGTGGGAAACTAACACAGTATTTTTTCCGGGCGCAAGAGCAGATGTGGAGGGTTCTGGGGAATTCAGAGCTAGAACAAGGTAGAGTGTGAGGAGCCACCATGTTGAGAAGCTCTGAGTCCCAGGACTAGCAGGTTGAGAAGGGCTTTTCCAAAGAAGTGACATTTCACCTTGTATCTGAAGATTATATCAAATGAAGCAAGAGCTGGGATACCTGGGTGGCTCAGTTGGTTAAGCGTCTGCCTTCGGCTCAGGTCATGATCCCAGGGTCCTGGGATCGAGCCCCGCATTGGGCTCCCTGCTCCGCGGGAAGCCTGCTTCTCCCTCTGCCTGTCACTCCCCCTTCTTGTGCTCTTGCCCTGTCAAATAAATAAATAAAATCTTAAAAAAAAAAATGAAGTGAGTGGAAAAATGTTTCAGGCAAGGAAACAGCATGGTGGAAGGCCCACGGGCAAGAGAGAGTGCACCGAACCTCAAGAGGCCCCAGCAGAGTGAGAAATCAAGCAGGAGAAGTCAAAGGAATGCAGGTCAAACCGCCAGTCCCAGAAAGCGTTTGCTTTTTATCCGAGGGCGATAGGGCTAGATTTTGAGAGGGGCCAAATTATGACCGGATCTGCCTTTCAGCTGCCGTAGGGTGGAGAGTGGATCCCTAGGTGGCTCTGGCCCACCTGAGAGCTGGTGGTAACCCAGGCCAGACTGGGCCATGGAGAAGAAGATGGACAGATGAGAACTGACTGGAGAGATATTTTGGAGGTAAGATCAATGGAACTTGGTGATGGACCAGATGGGCTGTGAGGGAGAAGGAGAGTTTGAGATGCATCATCACCCCCCACCTTCTGGCGTGGACAAATGGGGGGATGATAGTGCCATTTCCTGAGATGGGAACCTGGGTGAGGGGGCAGGCCTGAGGTGTGCCTGCAGCACATGCGAGCCGAGGTGACCACCGAGGCAGTTGGATACGCATCAGGAGTTGGGTGAAGGTCTGTTGGAGATTCAGGGTAGACTCTGGGTCCTTGCAAAGAGAAAAAGAGGTTTCTCAACCTCAGCACTATTGACATTTTGGGTAGGGCAGTTCTTTGTTTGGAGGTAGGCCTGGAGGGTTGGCCTCATCTGTAAGGTCAGAGCTGGGTCACAGGCCCACCCATGTTCCAATCCAGGGGAAGGGGAGGGTGAGCACAGGTGAGGCAGGGTTCAGGTGCGCTCCTCATGGTGTCCACAGTCATCTAAGAAAGCCTGGTCACAGGGCCACACCTGTTTGCCACGGAAGCTGGGCAGTGTAGGCTAGGTGTGCGCCCAGCAGGGAGGGGGCAGCAGGTTTTGGCGGACAGCTGGGCGACGGGGGGTGGGCGGGGTGGCGGCGGTTGGAAGACATTTCCCGTGAAGGGATGAGAGCTTGTGTGGAGACTCAGAGGCAGGAGGGAGCCCCGCAAAGCAGGACACTGCCTGTGGTTCTGCCAGGATCGAGTCCGCCAGCGGGGAGGAATGGGCCTTGTCCTGAGGGCAGGGAAGGCGTTTGGTCAGCCTCCTGACTTCCCACCCGGGCTCCTTCCTCCATGAAGTTGTGTCCTTGAGGTCTCCCACAGCTGGGACCTTGATACTCCTTCCTCCCTCCCTCCCTTCTTTCTCTCTCTCTCTCTCTCCCTCCTTCCCTCTCTTTCTCTCTTTCTTTCAAAGATTTTAGTTATTAATTTGTCAGAGAGAGAGAGCACACAGCAGAGGGGGCGGCAGGCAGAGGGAGAAGCACATTCCCTGCTGAGCAGGGAGCCCGATGTGGGACTCGATCCCAGGACCCTGGGATCATGACCTGAGCCGAAGGCAGACGCTTAACTGACTGAGCCACCCA